GCGGGCCCCCCCCTTTTTTTTTTAAGATTTTATTTATTCATTTAGAGCAGAAGTTCTTAACGCTTTTGGGGTCACCATGTGGAGAATTCAATGCAAACCATTAATCTTTTCCTCAGGAAAATTCAGATATGTACGCAGCATTTTTGTTTTTTTATTAAAGATTTTTATTTATTTATTTGAGAGAGAGAATGAGATAGAGAGCATGAGAGGGGGGAGGGTCAGAGAGAGAGGCAGACTCCCTGCCGAGCAGGGAGCCCGACGTGGGACTCGATCCCGGGACTCCAGGAGCATGACCTGAGCCGAAGGCAGTCGCTTAACCAACTGAGCCACCCAGGCGCCTGTACGCAGCATTTTGCATCTAGTTCCAAGGGAACCCTAGACCTCAGAGGAAGACTCCCCTTGAACTCTGGGCAAAGCAGGGCAGTCCTCAGGCCCTCCCTCACCCCTGGAGCTCTGCAGAAGAGAGTTGGAAATCCTCTTCCTGACAAGGGAGGGCTCCCTCTCCTTAGGGGAGGCTGCCTGTGGGATTGGATTTCTGGGTATGGATTGCTGATTACGGTAAGGTTCCATGTTTGATGGGCATACACAGCAGAGACGTGGAGGGTGGTCTCCCTCAGCATCCGTCTGGCACAGGGTGGGCGCAATAGAGTTTTTCCCTGTGAATGATTAAATGAAAGAAGGGACAAGCCAGCATTCAAACCTACCTCCTCTTTCCCCTGTTGTTTCCTCTTAACTGGTTAGGTCATCTCAGGGTCAAAATTCTCTCTGCCAATGGGTCGTGTTTGTTTTGTTTTGTTGACAACCTTTATTTGTGAGCGCCTGTTATTTCCTACTTCCTTATTCAGTGTGAAGTCAGGATTCCTGACACCTGTTAGGATATTTACAAGCTCTAAAACATTTATGATTTTTTAACTTTTTGAAACGCAAGTTAAATGGTAATGTCAAAAGAATTCTATAGATTGCTTTTATTCTTTGAGAGGAAAAAGGACACAGTAACCAACATGTTGTTTCTGGTTGAGGAACTGTTTTGGTACTTGAGGTTTCTGTGGTATTGGCCCAGGTGGCTGTGGCAAAAGTGAGGGCTGGCTCGGCTCTGTGGGGTCCTGGTAAAGGCCTGGAGGTCACTGCAAGACTAGACATATTTATCAGGCTTCCGGAAGGTTTCAGTTAGATTACTCCTGAGAACCCCAGTTATGGACTTACATATGTGCTGCATGTCTTGGCAGCAGTTGCTAAGTGGTTTGGGTCCACTCTTGTGTCAGTATGGGGCATGGATTCCATTTGTACAAGGTGTATTTAAATATTCATTGCTGCATATCCCCGGATAAAAGTCAGTGTGTTATATGAGTGATCGTACCTGCCCAGGCCCCCCCACCAGCCACCCCCACCCCCGCTCTGCCCTGCAGCCCGGGGTCGCCAGGGGATCGCCAAACTTGGAAGCCCCCTTAGAAAACCATTGACCCAGAGCAGTGGACCCTACCTAGGGTGTGTGCCAGGCCCACGTGGGCTTCTCCAACCTGCTAATGCCAGGCCTCCTTCTCTGAAAAAGCCGTGGGAGAAGCAGATACACACACCTGACCAGGAATCCATGATTTAAAGTAGCAGTTCCCAAAGCGCCTCCAGCTCATACTGGCCAGGCTGGGATGGATGAGATGTGGCTGCCCCATGGTCACTTCTGGCTCTTAGCCACTTGCTTCTCAGCTCTGAGGGCAATACCAGGACTCGGGGAAGCCTGAATGTCCTTGTACTCTGCTCGGTTTGCCTAGAAAACTTAGGTAGATGAAATCATTTCTCAACATATCTATGCCAAGTGTGGAGTGGGTTTTTTTTTTTTTGGTTTTTGCCAATGACTAGGATTCAGAAGAATTTGGGAGCATTTAATTGTATTTTAGATCATAGACAAATTGATAAATTTGCAATGAGAAAACATTGCATACACATAGTAAAGTAGCGTATTGTAATTTTTCTGCATTCAGAACAATAAGTTAGCATAAACTGGCCTATCGTCTTTTTTTAGGAAGGACTCCCTGTTATTTTGAGCTTATGCTGGTCCCCATTTCTAGTCATTTATGAAACTATTAAAGAGTGCAACTGTTTTTTTTTTATTTTTTTTTATTTATTTAACAGAGATAGAGAGCACAAGCAGGCAGAGTGGCAGACAGAGGGAGAGGGAGAAGCAGGCTCCCCGTGGAGCAGGGAGCCCGACGTGGGGCTTGATCCCAGGACCCTGGGACCACGACCCGAGCCGAAGGCAGCCGCCCAACCGACTGAGCCACCCAGGCACCCCAGAACAATGTTTTACACTATGTCAGGTTATTGAATTATGTTCCATGGCTTGAAAATGAATAAAAATCAACAAGATGAAGCCATTTAATAAATAATGGCATTCTAATAATGTGTTTTCACGGCTTGGTTAACGACAGAGATATTGTATAAAATCTTAGGCAGTGTTAGAGAAGTCTAGAAGTCCTTTGAATGGAATTACTGTTGGTTTTGTAGAACTCGTGAATACCAAGAGCAATACCATTGACGTAAAGAGGAGTCTCCATACAAGTCACCCAATGTCTATCGATGTCACTCCCTGTGTCAGACCATGGCTCAGACAATGGCATCTTTTAGCTAGCAGCCACCAAGTTATACAGGGAGATCACATGAACATTTCCTAAAAATCAAAAAGTGATTGAAAATTACTAAAATGACTTAATAAATTATGCTACAAATTATATCACATGATTGGGAGTTTTATAATATATAGGTTTTTGTTTTTTTTTTAAGATTTTATTTATTTATTTGACAGAGAGACACAGCAAGAGAGGGAACACAAGCAGGGGGAGGGGGAGAGGGAGAAGCAGGCTTCCCGCCAAGCAGGGAGCCTGATGCGGGGCTTGATCCCAGGACCCTGGGATCATGACCCGAGCCGAAGGCAGCCGCCCAACCGACTGAGTCACCAGGTGCCCCAAGAGTGCAACTGTTTTTTTAATAAAATAAGCAACAACTTGGCATAGGCTCCCTGTTTTATTATTTTATTGTACTCATTTCTGAAATCCAAAGTCTGTGTCCCCGATCTGGAAGATAGGAGTACCCGAGAACTCTAGATTTAAACTTGCTACTGCCCGCAGCTTTGGAAAATCACCCGTCACCCGTTCTCAGGGTCTCAGCCTCCTCATCTAGGACCGAGGCACCCAGCCAAGGTCATACGGTGGTAATGACAGAAAGCAAACCAGCAGGTCGAGGTGGACAGTTAAAGCACAGTATTGGCATTGACCACATTAGCTCAGTCTCCATCCAGGCCTGCCTTTGTGGGGTGCCTAAACCTGTTTTTAGTTGATGATTTTGAATCAGGTCCATGTTCTGCAACTTTGGAAATAATTCAGTAGCATCACTGAACCATATTTATATACACCCTGTCCATGTCCCTTTTGTCTGGGTTAGCGCAGGCAGAGCGGGGAGAGCAGCCCAGCCGCTCAGTACACCCAGCTGCCTCCTCTGTCCCGGTCTGGGCTCCCCTCAGCAGGACGCGGCCTTGTCCGTCGTGGTGACTCCCAGGCCCTGTGGCATGCCCTGTGTGCCCTGGACTTGGAAAAAATATGTTCCTAGCCACCACCGGCTAACGCTTGCTTTCCACCACTTTCGCACTGTTTTGCGCCGGGCACTCATGTCATCGGGCCGCGGAGCCTGCTGCAATGGTGGCCAGGCCTAAGAGCATTAATTGGCTCCCTAGTGAACCGAAGGGTGACCCTGACCTTGTCACAGAATAAACAAACCAGCCAGGGAAAAAAGGCCTAAACACACTTGGCCGTCAAAATTATAAGGGTTTAGGGGCGCCTGAGTGGCTCAGTCGTTAAGTGTCTGCCTTTGGCTCAGGTCACGATCCCAGGGTCCTGGGATCGAGCCCCGCGTCGGGCTCCCTGTTCGGCGGGAAGCCTGTTTCTCCGTCTTCCACTCCCCCTGCTTGTGTTCCCTCTCTTGCTGTGTCTTTCTCTGTCAAATAAATAAATAAAATCTTAAAAAAAAAAAAATTATAAGGGTTTAGAGGGGGAAAAAATTATAAGGGTTTGTTAGGACTCTAAGGAAAAAAAAAGTAGTTAAATTATGCAAAAAGATATCATTCTAACTTGTTACCAAGCTTTGAACCTTACCCCAGTTGCTGCTTTCCTCTTGTATGGTAGATAGGTTTATGAAAAGGCCCTTGAGCTCCCTAAATTTAGGCACATGGCTTGTTTTTTTTCTATTTATGTTATGGATTTTATGTAGCTGTCCAAATGCTTTTATTAAGGTCTCTGTTATTTCACACCTCCGTCTGTCCAAGTTGATTTCCCCACTCCTTCTACAGAGAGCTGAAGAATGTTCTCTCTGCTTCCCACATGAAGACAGTCAGGTTTCAGTGAATAAACTACATCCCTCCTCATATACCAGGGAGGTATTTTTGGTGCCTCAGAGGAGGGGACATGGGCCAAGGCCCTGCCCCAAAGTGTCACCCATGGGTGCGAAGCAAATAGCGAGGTGACAGACGTTCCTTCCCCCTCCGTTGACTTGGGCAGCTGAGTAGAGACAAGAACTCTTGGGCATGAATCCACTGCTGGGAAAGTCCAGGGCTTGGTGTGGTTCCTTTGAGGGCTTCCTACCCTACCGGAAATGCTGTGCAGGACAAAAGCTGTGTCAACAGGAGCATTGTGGGTGCTGCTTTGAACATGCTGCTTGGTGACCCTGTAGACCGCATCCGTCCCACCTGCTCTGCTAGTGAGCCAGCAGCACTCCGGGCCCTGCGCGTCCTGAGAAGCCACACCGGTGCGCCACGGGCGTGCTCCCTGACGGGCGCGTCCGCTGCCAGCCCTGCAGAGATGCTCTTCCCTCTTCCTTCAGTGAGACCCCACAACTCTAGTAGGTACCAGCTTCCCACTTAAATCAGGTTTAAAAAGGAAGAAATTTCCACATTCCTCCTCAGTTCCTAGGAATTTATTTTTGGATGTGAGTTACTTCCATTTCTATCTTGACCTACTAGTAAGTCGTCTCACTGCTTTATCAACCTTGTGCCCAATTTAAGATTTGGCACTTGATCCCTATATGTGTGTGTTCTTAGGGTGTGGACCCTTTTCTTTGGAAACATAATCACAAGCCATTGCATGGGAGGAAAAGCATGTAGCTATAGAAGAAGACATTGAAAAGAGATGTAGTTCCTTAAGTCTTTGGCTAAGCAAACTTGGCAGAGCTCATGCCACGCATAATCATCAGTGATTCTGCGTGTTCATCACCTGCCTCCCCACCATGGTCAGGAGTCACAGCCTGCCCGGCTTGGCTCCTCCAATTTCATGTCTTTCCTGACGCCGTGTCTGCGGTGTAGACCTGCCTGCCTGGATCACATGATCCAGATGACCCAAAACTCCGCGGAGGGGAATGAGGGGAGGGGCACAGTTCCCAGCAGGAGGAGGGGACCAGGAGCATGCATCCCTAGATTGTAAGCTTCTGGGCTCGGGCTGCTGGCCCAAGCTTTCTCTGCACTGCAGCTGTTTTTCAGGGGATGGATTTCTCAGGCGCCTTCGTCGGTGCCGCCTGGCCCCAGTGCTCTGCCTCTCCTGCGGGGGTTTCTCCAGGGGCAGCAGCTGGGGTGGTGGAAACACATAACCGGAGAATGATACATGTTCACTCCTCCCACACACGGACCGATTTCAGATCCTTTATCAGAGAGAGGGGGTAGACAACTCTGCGTGTGCATGGACGGCGTGACTTTCATAGTCCGTGAAATGGAAAGGGGTGGTCCCAGATGAGTTACGGGGCATGTGACGGTGCTGGGGGGCGAGCAGTGACATCAGAATGCACTGGTTCTTCTTTCTCAGTGTTGCAGTTGAGGACAGCACTTGAGATGCAGCTAGTGAGAGTAAAGAACTTCTTAGTTTTTTGAAATTGCATTTAATTTCAGTTATTTAAATAGTTTGTTAATTTAAATTATTTAAATAGTTTGAACCAGTAGCTCATTGGTACCGTGTTGGGGCGGAGCGGTTAGAGGTTTCCAGCTCAGTGTTCTTATTGACAGTATGATGTCCATCTCATCTGCAAGTTCGTTGTTGCCACATCTTAGGACACCTGGTTCCTCTAGAGAAAGTGGTTTCCGGGCGCTTTGAAGCCGAGCAGGAGGGGCCAAGCAGCTGCCTGATGACCACAACTGACGACACACCAGATGCCACAGGAGGACAGATAAATGAGCAGGACTCATGTATCCTTCTCAGGACAAACATACTGTCTTCAGGTCTCCTTTTTCTCCAGTATAGACTGGACATAGCATGAGAACCTGCTAGAAAGCTCTCCACGAGGCCTTGTATTCACGCATAGAACACGTGGTTGCTCAGCACCTGCCGTGGACCAGGCCCTGGTGACAAGGCAGTACATGGGACGAAGGCCCCACTCTTGGTGGACCTGGGTTTGTTACGTGACAGAGACGTGGGCCAAGCACTCAGTGTGCCAAGCCCTGTTGAGTAAGCTTTCGATCGGGATGTGTTTTGCTTATTTGGGTTCCTAACGGGAAATAGCTTGCTCAAGTGAGGATGGTTCCAAGAGCGTCTGTCTGCAGAGGCCTAATTGTAAAGGCAGGGCCCGGGAACAGGGGCCACTGTCGCTGGTGCAGGACAGCATGCAGCCTGAGTCCTGGGCTGGCTGTGTTCCTACAGGCTGGGGGGTACCAGAGCATGAAGGAGAAGGTGTGGCCCACCGAGGGGCTCCTAGGCCAGATACCAGGGTGGAAAGGGCCTCAGGAGATACGGCAGCTCCTGTTGAGCCCAGATGGTGGGCGGATACAGTTGTCACCTTGTCTTCAGTTCAGAGGAGGCCAGGCTGGGGACAGACCTGGGAGGTGTCAGCTGTAGGTGACATTCAGTGCCTCGGGTCCAGCTTCAGTCCACGCCAGCCACAGCACCACTGGTGGGAGAGCTAAAGCCCGAGTCCTGGGCTCTGCTCCCTGGCCAGTGTTCCTCGTGCTCTATCATTTGTCTTTGGCCTTTCCTCCTCCAGACTAAAATTAGAGCAGAGTTTAGCTTTGCGTGATAAGGTCTGTTTCCCAGCATTCTTCATTCTCATATTTGTCCCCCTGGCCCACTCACATGTCCTGATGCTTTCCCAAAACTCCTACGTTGAGGTGTCACTTCATGTTTTCTAAGTCCTGCTGAGTAAGTAGGCTAGCAGACAGATCGAAAAGCAGATGATCCTTTACAGACTCTGCCTCTGTTTGACCCAGAGAAGCCAAAATGAAATCTCTGCTGTGTCTGCTTTGTCTTTGATGGGACCAGAAGCAGTTTGAAGCGCTTTGTCTTGAGTTCTTGGCGAGTTTTCTCAGGCTGAGCCCCTGCCCACCACAGGTTCATTGCGGAAGAGTCTGCAGCCGCTGGGGCCAAGTGCGTGCTCACCCCCAGCCCCACCTGGATCGTCGACCCCATTGACGGCACCTGCAACTTTGTGCACAGGTGAGCATCAGCACGGGCCGCCCCTGTTCTGGCCCTTAACCTGTCCTCTTCTCTAAGACTTTGTCTTTTCCAAAGCAGCATTCTTTGAGGCAGGAGCATATAAACAAACCGCTAGTAGGTTGATAGTCTCATTAGAAAGGTGGTCTGTATTGATCTTTTTTAAAAGGAGGTTCTCCTTCTGTGAGATACTCTCAGCATGTAGGAGATACTCATTTGTTTAAAACTGTTGTGTTTGTCATCTTTAAAATGTTGGGTTGAATTAACAAGGACCCCTTAAGGAAGCCCCTGGAGAAACGAGCAGGGCTATGAAACAAGCATGTGCAGCCCAGCAGCCTCAGGAGCCCGGGTGTAGACAGCAGCACCCGAGGGCTGGCGTTCCAGAGCTGCCCGTGGAGGTGAGAGTAAGCCTCATGCAGTCATGAGGCGGGATGAGGAACCCACTGGCAGCGGGCCAGGCCTAGTCTGACTGAGCAAATAACAGCCAAAAAGCAGGAGGTTTCAGGGAGGTCAGAGAGGCCCTCGGGGGGAGGGGAGGCGAGCCGCAGCTCAGGGAGGTGATAGGGACGCGGCCTCGACTCCAGAAGCTCTGACCAGTGCGGGGGCTGTTGGGGCTGTCCAAGGACACAAGGGCACTGAAAGTGACCTGGTTTCCACAGATGGTTGGTTCTCCGACACGAACACACGTGGGGCCTCCTGGAGAGCTGGTTGGCGCAGGTTCCGGGCCCCTCCCCGGGCCCTTCCAGGCCAGGCACCCCTGCGTGTGCATTTCTCAGCACACAGGCAACACCAGCAGTGCAGAACCCCACTCTGAGAGCCCCCTCCCCAGATGAGCAGGAAACACTCCGTTTCCTTATATAGAGTGAAAAAGTAGGAGCACAGCCAGACTAGGGTGGCCTTCGTTCCCGGTGCTGTGCTCTGTGTTTTGCATCAAATCGTGTGTTTATTTGTAAGTATGTAAAGTCATCCTGATCTATCGTGTTAATCATCACCCTTTTCTTAACGTGGCTTATCTTGAGAATGTAGTCGGTCATGCCCACACGTTGCCTTTTGAGGCAATGGAATAGTGCCATCTGGTGACCGCAACAGCGTCAACAGACTAATGTGAACTAAAGCGTCACACACACACACACACACACACACACACACACCCGCCCCGCCCCGGGCAGGAATTCGGTGGAGTCTCAGGTCTCCCCTCATAGGTGTGTTTCGCTGAGTGAAGCTCCCGTTCTTCTGTCTCACTTGTCAGTGCTGTGCTGGTAACGGGGACGGGGGCGCTGAGCCGTGTCATGCGGCAAAACCTGCACAGCCACCAGAGGGCCTCTTGTGGGCCCCGGTGGCCCTCAGCTTCCAGAACACCTTGAAGGGCCACAGTGCGGCGGTCCCTGTGGCCTAAAGACATCAGAAGCCTTTGCCCACTGCAGCTCAGGTAGTCTGTTCATTCTCGGGTCCAGCAGCGTCACGGCTGAAGCAGGTGGGGGGCGAGAGCTTTCCCAGGTACTAAAGTGGAGCCTGGCGTGTGGTGTGTTTGCTCGGGGAGCCAACCACCCGATGACCGTGCCGGCCGCCGCAGCCTCAGTCCAGGCTTACCTCTGCGGAGGACTGGTTTCATAGTTTTCCTGTAGGTTAGAAGTACCCGGCTTCTCCTTCCTACTTGCTGGTAAGCTCTGCTGATCTTCACATAAAAGACAGATTATCTTGAAGAGGTATAGCAGTAGCAACAAAATCACAAAATAAAACCACGGGCAATCTGCGACGTCACAGCCCACCTCTGATGGCCTAGGCCTGCAGTTGGCCGCTTGGGAGCTCACTCAGGAGACAGGGTGGGGGGTGTTGTCACCCAGATCCGGCCTCTGCGGGGAGGCTATGATACCGCCTCCTGGGGACCCCTCCTCACCTTACCGGGGACATGGGTCTGGCCTTTTTGGAGGTCTCTACTGTCCCTTTATGTCTCTGAAAACTGGACAGCTGATCATTAAAATCCCTCTCAGTTGGGTACTTGATGGTCATTGTTGAATTACAGCAGTTGTACACGACTTTCAGAATACTTCTTTCAGGGTCAGCTGTCTTACACACCGCTAAGCCTGTTTGTCTTGGAAGCAGTTAGTGAAATTGTGGGAAGGAATTTAAAATGAACAAGCCCACCCGCACTGTAGAAAGGTCCTTCTGCACCTCCAATGACAATGTTGTGTAGCCACACAGAGGCTCCTAAGAGTTTGCATGAGACGGTTTACGTTCTAGAGTGTAAACCATTCTGTTTTTCTTTGCAGATTTCCCACCGTGGCAGTGAGCATTGGATTTGCTGTAGACCAAGAGGTACGTGGTGGATGGGTTCCCCGAGGCCAGTGGTCCTAAACCCCTTGGGCCTGGCTTAGCATCATCCTTTTTGGATTTGGTCCCCATACTCCTGTTTTTCTGTCTTTGTCATGTGTCTTAGTCATGACTAGTAAATCCAAGCATGTGTTTTTCAGATCCAGGAAAATAAACAAAGGAACACTGGTTTTGGGGTGTGTGGGTTTGAGGCTCCATGGCCAGCCCACCCCCGTGGTGGCAGGCCCTTGTTGCCCCCATGGTCTTTCTGTGATGCTACTAAAGAAGCATGGAAAGGAAAGTTCTGAGCAAATACTCCACGTTAGTCCCCCTCTGACCCCTGGGGCGTGTGATCTAGTCCCACACAGAAGAAACTCCTATTTTTGGAGGACATTTTTAATCCCTGTCTTTCATTAGTTCTTCTCCATCTTTCCCTAGCTGTTAGCCTGAGAACACGGCTGCCTCAGGGTTCCCATCACCCTTGGAGCTAAGCGACAGCATGAGACCCACATCAAGGGCATTAATCAGTTTAAGCAGCAATGCTGAGGAAAGACTTCACTTCTGTGCAGTCACCATAGTTACATTTAAATAGGACTGGGGGTTCAGTGTTTTCCAAAAGCAGCCCTCCACTAGGCACTGTTTTCTCGTCTTCATCCTCAACACTAGCAGTGATTTCCCTGGCATGGAGACCCAGGGATGTTTATACCTGCATAAAAGGTGAAGGTGAAGATACATAAGAATTTTAGTATCAAAATCTGGTTAAGGAGTTACATGCTCACTTGTTTCTCTGTTCGGTGTCATTGAGACCAAGTAGGAGGTTGAGCTATAAGCTCAGAGGGTGAGACTCATGACGGCATGTCCGTAGCTGGGTGGGGAGGACAAAACTGCGGTGAGCGGGCAAGGTCTCTGGAGGCGAGGCCTGCAGCTCCGATGGGCCTGGTGTGAGTGTGTGCAGGTGGGCCGGGCGTGTAGTGGAGGGCTCTCATCAAGGGGCGCATTCCAGCCTTCCTCACCCTTTTCTCCTTCTGGCAAAGGCCTCCGGGCCACCCGACCACCCTGGGGGCACAGGGTCTAGAGGCCCGCATGGTTCTAGGACAACTCTGATTTGGAAACCCCCTTAAAGCCAGGGTGGTGGGAAGGAGGGAAGATAGTTAAGTGTTGCTGGAAAGCTGACTGAATGATCCTCTCCAGAAATAAACCCTTTTCCTGCATTGTCAGGGAGTCCATCCCACTGTGGTCGAGCTCACCCCAGGCCAGCCGAGACTCTTCCCCAGAGACTAGGCCCGGGTCTCTCTCCATTTTCCAGCGAGACGAAAACATGGCCAACCCCCAGACCACACACACTTGCCCCTGTTAACCCCGAATAGTGACGAGTCGGTGGAGGAAAGAAACAAAGCACAGGAGTGTAAGGCAGCGTTTTTTTCCATGCTCGCCTCTTCTTTTTACTGTTTGCGGCTGGGAGGCTGCTTTCTGAGGCGTTTGTCACCTGCTGTATGCAGCGTGGCAGTGGTTTGGCGCCCGCCTGCTCAGCGCCGCGCCCCTCCTTGGCGAATCACCTCTCCTGCTTGGCCGTCCTGGAGTCCGAGTCCATAGGCTTTACAGGTGTATTCTTAATTCTTCACACGTCAGCAACTTTGAGGGTTTCTATGGGGGTGCGTTAGTCACAAGTAGCCTTCCCCAGCCCCCACCCCCCAAAACAGAGGCCTTTCTGAAGAGTTAAGCTTTTTCAGTAACTTCCAGTTACTAATGTTTGATTATGAGGTTAATTTTTTTTTTTTTAAGATTTTATTTATTTATT